GCATGCTCTTTAATTTATGAAGAGTTTTGCCCATCTGTCACCCCACTAAACTTCTCATTTTCTCACACATTCTGATATAAACCAAACCCCATATGGCAGTAATGACAATATTCTCCTATCAAATAAACGGTTTGACTTAGGGGTACACGCCATCCGTTTATTTTACTTTGTGTCCTAAATTCATTTTTGTTTCCCATTCCCTCTACATTTCCTGGTTCCAAACAGGATATTCTGATAGCATTTCCCACCAACCAGAAACAGGAAGCACCCGAAAAGCCAGGAGAAAAATGTCCTTGTGCCAAACCAAAGACGGACTTTTTTAAGAAGTGAAAAGTTTGAGACATTGTGGACAGGTGCCCACACACTTAGAGGCTCTCCTCAATTAAACCAACTTCCCAACATTCTGGAGAGAGCACGGCTGACCCTCACTGAGACCCACAATCAGGCCACAATTAGAGAACAGTGTGTGGTCTTTCTGAACACTTTCACCTGCATTTTCTCATGAGCTTCTCACAATAACCCTCAGAGGTAAATGTAATGGAGGCATCATGGTGTCCTTTCCCACCGAGGGTCCAGCCACAGGGTTGAGGCCATGGAGGCAGAAGCCTGGAAGATCAGGCCACACCCAGCCCCACCCTGAGGTCTTTCCACTCTTGCAGAGGAAGTGTCCATCCTCCCCTGCCCAGCATCCACCATTTGTCTTTTCCATGGGCCCCAACAGGCTGCAGACTCTAGGCAGGTCTCCGTTTTTCCAGCTGTAAAATGAAATAATCCTACCTTAATGTCACCTTAAACGAGGATGCAGCCTGGGCCTTTGCAGAGGTTCCAGGCCATGTACACGGGCATAGAATTCTCTCCCCACTCAGCTCTGCCACTTTGGAAGCACCATGTTCCCGCTCTGTTTTCCCCTGTAGATGGGGAATTTCTTGGGCTTTATCCATCAGGCACTTAGCACAGGGTCTAACAGGTACTTCATAAAACTGAGTGGACTCTATCCCTGGTAGACAAATTAGTTGCCCTATAGTAATTAACAAACACTTACTTGGCAGACAGTACATTAGCAGACAATATGGTATATTAACATATATGTGCTTATTAGCATATACAATCTTCCCTCAGTATCCATGAGGGCTTGGTTCCAGGATGCCTACAGATACCAAAATTTGCAGGTGCTCAAGTGCCTTATATAAAATGGCAGAGTACAGTTGACCCTCCACATCCTTGAATGCCAGCCATTGCTCTAAGAACTTACAAGCTTTAACTTAATCCTCTCCACAGCCCCTTGAGGTAGGTTAGGCACAAAAGGTTAAGTCACTCATCTGAAGTCACAGCATTAACAAGTGGCAGAGGGCTTCCCTGGTGGCGCAGTGGTTGAGAGTGCGCCTGCCGATGTGGGGGACACAGGTTCATACCCCGGTCTGGGAAGATCCCACATGCCGCAGAGCGGCTGGGCCCGTGAGCCGTGGCCGCTGAGCCTGCGCGTCTGGAGCCTGTGCTCCACAGCGGGAGAGGCTGCAACAGTGAGAGGCCCGCATATGGCAAAAAACAAGTGGCAGAGCCAGGACTGGGACTCTGACGGTCTAGGCCCAGAGTCTGTTAAAACTCAGCCTGAGCAAGCCACCCCACATCTCTGGATGTCAGTAAAGACAAAGAGGCCAGGCTGGGTGATATCTGAAAGGTCCAGTCAAACTCCAAAATACTTCTGTTGTACTTCACTACCACATGATCCCCCAACTGGAACAGACAGCCAGCGTTACTGAGTTTTTCCACATTAAGAGAAAATGATTGCCTTAAGAGCTTAAGTAGGTTTAGTTTAGACCACCAAACAGGGAGATGGAGATCCCAAAGCAAGAGCATAGGCAAGGGCCCTGTGGCCTGCATAACCCACCTGCCAGTCCCTCTTCTAGAGAAATGTGACCATCTGCCACACCTCGCCTCTTACAGGACCAAGAACTACAGAGGCGTTCCGTTCAGTCCCCCATTGTTCTAAGGGGCTGCTTATACCCCAATGCTCCCCATCCCAGCCCCACCCCGTACTCCTCCCTGGGCACTGAATGAGTTAGGATACAGAAGTGTGGGTGCCCGTGGGGATGAAGGACTGGGCAGGGCACGACCACTTTGCTACTTTCCTTGCTGGCTCCAGCTGGCCATCATTAAGTCAAGGAACAACCATAGAAAAGAATGATTCTAGAGGCCGAAGCCCATCCCACAGCCACTGTTGCACGAGGAATGTGGGTTCCTGTGACAAGCCTGTGTCAGTCAGCTATTACTGCGTAACAACCAGGAAATCTCCTTGCAAACAATGACAAGCATTTATTTCTCCCATGCACATCTACAGGTCACCTAGGGTTTGGATGACCTAGCTGGGCTCTGGCTGCAGGTTTAGGGTTTGGGTCTGTTCCACACGTCTCTCTCCTGGGACCAGTGAGCTACGGGGAACACGTTCAGGCAACAGTCCAAAGCACCCAGAGGGGTGGGCTCGGAGCTCACACTCTACTGTGAGTGACAGACATGTGGAGCAGACATGACTCAACCTGCTACCTGGCCCCGTGGTGCCCTCCTTGGCTCACGGAGGCTTGCACGTTCCCGCCAAGGTCAGGCCAGAGCTGCCAGCAAAGAAGACAGGCAGGTGCCCTTGAGAATACCAACACCCAAAATGTTCATGTTCCCCTCCCTCATGATTGGACCTTTGGGACAGTTCAGTCACCCTCTCTTATTTTGAGAGGGTGAACAACTGGCTCCTATTTAAATCTCATTTAAACCAGAAACACCAAAACACAAAACAAATCCCCACTAACCACCAGGGGACAAAATGATTTGCTGAGGTCAGACAAATGAAAATTCAAAACCCAGCTCTATCCACCATGTGATTTTGAATGACCTTTCACAATTTACTTAAAAGCCCAGTCTTAGCATCCTCATCTGTAACAGGAGAAAGGCAACACAGAACCCTCGCTGCCAAGGGGGCCCCCCCAGGTCCCCCCCCTTACCATTTCTGTAACATGGCCTGATTGCCACCTGCCAGCACCTGCATCTCTCTGCCTGGGGGCTTTCCCCACCCACACACATGGCAGGACAGGATGCCCAGTGGATACAGACCCATCCCCTCATCCCTCAGGCAAGATAATTCTAAGGTATGTGTCCTACGCTGGCCCAGAGATTGTATCCCAGTGGCCCAGGCTGGTAACTCATGGGGACCACACCCCTCATGGGCCGCCTTCCCCTCCTTTTCTCACTTTCCCGCTCCCCACTGGTGTCTTCTGGAATAACTTCCAAAACAAACTACTTCCAGTGATTAAGACTCCATGCTTTCACTGCTGGGGGAAGGGTTTGATCCCTGGTTGGAGAATTAAGATGCCCACATGCCGCGTGGCATGGCCAAAAAAAAAAAAAGAGAATATATAAAGTCCCCAGACCAACCCCATTCTACTGCTGATCCCGCCCCCCCCAACTGCCTGATAACAGATCCTTTAAAAGTGTAAGCCACAGTGGCTACAGGTACAAATGGACATGTGACCCCAGCTCCCTCTCCAAAGGGCTGTCTTTTGCTTTCTAACGCTTACGGTGGTGTACAGGGGAGTCACTAGGGATGGCAACGTGGCCCTATTTCACAAGACAACTTCTGAGAAAACCAGAGTGCTGCTGGTCCTATTGCATAATTAGTTGGGTTCTATCCCCACAGCCTCCATCGTCCCTACTGATTCTCTCACTCCTCCCAGCCTCACAAGCTACCCAACGAGTTCTTCCAGGGCCTTTTCACTTTTCCTCCTGGAAAAAAAGGAAGCAACCAGCTGGGGCAGTCAGCACAGTCCTGGCCCCTCATCGGTGTCTTTATATGACCTATCCCTCCCTCCTCTCGACTGATCACATCATCATCTATTTTTCAGATGAGGTTTTTCTTTTGATGGGGGCAGTACAGAGATAAACAGGGCCAGAGTTCAGTTGCCTAGCATGGTCCTGCCAGAGCTGATCAGATGCTGACATGGGATCAAAGAAAGGGTTCCCCTCACAGAGGAGAGGGTCCATGCCTCCTGCAGGGACCTGGCCTTTTCCCAGAGCCCCTTTTCAATGGCCAAAACTTGAAACATGTGAAAACCCAGGGAGGCCCAAGGGAAAGGTGGCCACGGGCTAGTGGAGACTTCTGTCCAAACAAATAAATTAGGGGGAGAATTAAAACATAAACAGCCAAGCACTTAGCTCACCTGGAATTAGGCTAAGCAAACTCTGAGAGCACAAGCTGTAAAACTGCAGTAAATGACACTGAATCCGTAAAGCTCAAATTCAACTAAGCTAAGTCATGATAGGCTCAGTGGTCCCCAGCCCAGGCATTAGAACCGTCTAAGTACGGAGCTTGAGAAAACATTTTCCTTCCCAAACCCCAAGTGCCCCTTCGTAAGGAGCTCTTAAAACCATGCCGAAGGTGCACCCAACTCTCCAGCATCTGCCAGAGTGTGCAGACTGGATGAGAAGGAAAGCCAGACTTGGGATGTCATGAAGTGACTGAACCCTGGGCCTTCTCTTCCCCCTGCCTCAGGACATCTGTCCACGGGTATGGCCGGGAGTTGTCTCGGAAGCGTTATGACCATCTGGGAGCTGCATGGGACTGTGGAGACCATCTGAGCCAACCTGAATTTTCATGGGGAGGAAACAGGCCCAGAGAGGGAAAGCAAGTTTCCCAAGGCTGTACAACATCTGGCAGTGTCAGGAAACCAAGAGGCTGGTGAATTTCAGTCTGAGACTTTATAAAGCTTGGGAAGCACCACGGGCTCTGTGGCACAGATGGACAAGGCTGGGCAGGGCCTGGCAACGCTGCCCCTTCCCATCTTCCTCATTACCTGATCCTCGGACACCAAAGGGCCATCTGGGGACATGGTGCAGCCCTTCTGTTAGAGTGTGGAAAGCCGGGGGAAGTGTTCACATGGTGGTGTGGAGATGGTTGGGGGTTGTTTGGGGCGTGACGTGGCGTCAGAAAGCGAGAGGGAGGATCAGTCAGAGCTCACCTTCATAGCAAGGAATCAGCGTCCTGCCTTGGGCCTGGAGGTTGGATGGGATGATGTAACAGAAGCCGTGGGGCAGGATGTGGTCTGTTTCGTAGTAGATGTTCTTCCAGCGGTGGGCACAGGCCTAGAGGACAGAGAGAGGTTCAGAGGAGAAGAGTCAGGCTCAGGAGGTCACAAAGCAGAGCCCGGCAGTGCCAGGTGGTTCTGTAGGAGGAGAGAGGTACAGAGGGGCCAGGAAGCCACCTTCTCTCCCATCCAGCCCAGGTGCTGTGCTGGGTGGGCATCAGCAAACTGCGAGAGCCTGGGGAGCGCCCCTGGGAGAGGCAGACAACCAACAAACATACAAACAAATGGGGATCCTAGCAAGTGCCGGAAAGGAAAGACACTGGGTTATGGACTGAGAATCTGGGAGTGGGGAGGACAGTTTTCACCTGGAGGCCAGGGGGGGCAGCCAAAAGGATGAGAAAGAGCCAAACACACTGGGCACAGAGGCAAGTGCTCCAGGAGGGAATATCAGGGGCAACGGAGAAGGCTGAGGGTCCACAGAAAGAAACGAGGCCCGTGGGGCTGCTGTGGAGGGAGGTGAGGTCAGAGAGGGGACAGGGGACAGGCCCCGGGAGTCTTACAGACCTTGGGGATGACTGTGACTTTAGTGGATGTGCTGACAGAGGGTCTTACACAGGCAAGTGGCATGGTCTGACTCACAGTTTGGAAAGATAACTGGGCTGCCAAGTGGAGACTGTAGATAGGCAAGGGTGGAAGTGAACATCAGGTGAGGGATGCTGCTGCCTGCACCAGGACAGGGGCAGTGGAGATGGGAGAAGGGGGTGACCTCACGATGTAGAGGTAGAGCTGATTGGCCCAGGGACCCACCAGATGTGGGCAGAGCAGGAAAGGACAGAAAAGGAAACCACGCAAAGGATAAGACAAGCACCCAATACCCGCTTCAGGGCCCTCAGGCCAGGATGGATGCGTTGTGCGTGCCCCACACATGCACCTGTTCATTCCTCCATCAAGTATTTACTGAGCACCTACTATGCACCAGGCTCTGAGCTGGCACTGAGGATGCAGCAGTGAACAGTCACAGGTCCATCTGGTGCAGCACACAGACTCGAGTCCTCAGTAAAGAACATACTGAGAAAAAGCCAGAGACGAGGAGTGCTGCTCCACCCAAAACAGACCCTAAGCATCAAGGTGCTACCTGCTTGCCCACGGAGCAGCCATCGGCCTCCATCAAACGTGAGACCCTTCAGAATCACATAGAAGCCTTACTAAATCACAGACCGCTGGGCCCCACCCAGAGAGCTGGCTCGGCCAGTCTTCAGGGCCCTGAGAATCTGCATTTATAACAAGCCCCCAGGTGAGCCGAGGCCACTGGTCCGTGGAGCACCTTCAGGAGCTCCTTTTCGGGTTCAGGGAAAAGCATTCGGTTAAACCATATGAAGTTGCTGATATTTGACTGTTTTATATCATTAATCAGAAGTAAGTGTTTGTTGACGGTCTTTTGAAGTAAATTTACATACAGAAAAATGCACAAATCTCAAGTGTACCATCTAATGTGCTTTGACAAATATACTCTCCTGTAACCAAACCCTTAGCAAGATATAGAACATTTCCATCTCACCAGGATGGTCCCACATGCCAGGAAGTGGCCTGGGCCTCTCCGAGGAGGTGACATCTGAGCAGAGACCTGAAGAAAGTGAGGAAGCAACTGGGAGGGGCCCTGAGGTGAGCGAGAGCTTGGCACATGTGAGGAGGTGAGACCGACCCTCTGGTCAGCTCTGGAGGGGAGCCTCCGGGAAGCACTGGGGTCGAATGTGCCAGGAGACACCTGGAGGGAGGGCAGTTCTGGGAGCCAGAAGCAGGAACACAGACTTGCATCCTTCCCCACCGGCACTGGACACACCCAGCCTCACACTCCAATGCACCCGCGCAGCTGGTGAGGAGCCCAGCTGTTTCCTGCAAAGGTGTGCGCTCTGCCTAGCCCCACCTGTTTCTCGTGGACATTCACACTCACTTCTGTCATCAGGTTGCTTCACTCTGGCCAACAGATGCATTTTCTTAAAATACTGCATTTTAAAATAATCAAAGTGTTTCACTTCTTTGTTTGCATCAAACACACTGATTTTGTAGGCTGTAACATTCTGCATTTACATGGTCCACATCTGACCGCTTCTGTAACCCTGGAAGGTGGGGAGGTGTCTTAGAATTCGATTTTCTGTACAGGAACCCTGGGTATCAGAGAGTGCTTTGCTTAAGTTACAGAGCTGGTAAGTGCTGCAAACAACACAGGAACCCACATTTCAGAGTCCTCCTTGTCTTAGTAGAAAACATTTCCAACTTATAACTCCCAATGCCCACCTGAGAAGCCATCAAAACCCACCCTTTGAGGCAGGTCGGGTAGCTATTGCCCTTAGAGCCTCTCCACAGGTCTCAGGACCCCCAAAATGACCTCTCTGGGGTCGAACAGGATGTCCAGGCCCTGGGCAGTGGGGGAGCTCTCCAGGGCCTGGCTATCCCTGTGGTTACTCTACAAAGAAATTCACTGCCTGCCAGCCTCTCTGGTCTTCATGCCTTCAAGCAAACTGCCCAAGGGCCCTTGACAAGGCTGCTCTCTGTCCACGGGAAAACGAGGACACTCAGAGCGGCGAGAAACCTCAGCCTGCCCACACTCTGCCTCCTACCCTATGACGTTAATCTCATCGTTCCTTATACTGCAAACCACCTTCATTCCTCCCTGCGCGGTACTATTCTGCGCTTCTAGCATATTTCTCAATAGACTGAAATGGTATCAGGCAAGAAGCTAAACAACAGTATCACTCGGTGGATCATCACTCCACTCCACTAAGGGTTTTAATTTTATTTTATTTCTGACCAAATTCTGATAGTTTGCAAATTTGAATCACTTACCATCTAATTAGCTGGTACATTAGTTATATTTTAGTTTATGGATTTGGCAAAGCTCGTGGGCTTACCATGTTTCACTGTATTTCTGGGTTAGAGGGACCAAAAAGGACCGAGGCGGGTGTTTACCATGACCCACGCTGACTCTTGTAAGGACGGACTTTGTGTATTTAATGTCTAGCTTATTGTCTTATTGATTGATTGATTGATTGATGGCTGTGTGGGTTGCAGTATGCAGGCTTCTCATTGCGGTGGCTTCTCCTGTTGCGGAGCACGGCTTTAGGCGCACAGGCTTCAGTAGTTGTGGGTCGCAGGCTCTAGAGCGCAGGCTCAGTAGTTGTGGCGCACGGGCTTAGCTGCTCCGCGGCATGTGGGATCTTCCCCGACCAGGGCTCGTGTGTCCCCTGCATTAGCAGGAGGATTCTTAACCACTGCGCCACCACGTAAGCCCTACTGTCTTTTTTTTTTTTTTAAGTGGCATAAACTATTTAAGAAGTGATCTCGGGGAATTTCTAGAAGATCCAAAGATTGCATTTCACAATAAACTAAACTAAAATTAATGCATTCTGTGAGGTCAGAGATCAAAGTGTCAAAGGCAGTTTGCATGTAAGAAAACAAGGAAAAGTGTCTCTGAACATAAACTACAGAAAGAAAAGACTTTGTTTAGTCCCAATTATCCTTATATATACACGCATGTCAATCTGACTCCTACATTAAGAAAAATTCCTAGGGACTGTCTCCAAAGCATTAATATCTCCATCAGTCTCTCCAAATGAGTTCTGCTGTGAGGGAGGCAGGGGGTGTGGGCAGAGCAGGCAAGACCAACAGGAGAAAGAGAGCACCCTCTGGAAACAGCAAGACTTATTCCAACTTGGATTCCAAAGAATTATAACAAAAGAGAGGGGAGGGTCTAGGACCACCCCAAATCTTTTTTTTTAACATTTTACTGCAGTATAATGGCTTTACATTGTTGTGTTAGTTTCTGCTGTACAACAAAGTGAATCAGCTATACGTATATACGTATATCCCCATATCCCCTCCCAATCCCATCCCTCTAGGCGGACCACCCCAAATCTTAGCATCTTACATACTTCAGGTTATAAGGGTTGTTCTTCCTCCCAAAAGGATAAAGAGATGAGTATATTTCAAAGGGCTTTCTTGTATGGAAACACATGTCCTTCCTGGGGGTGGTGGGTACTGGGCCTTTCCGATGGCTCAGCCACAACAGCATGTACGTCTCCCCCCACACCACGCCGCACTGCCCTACCACCACTACTACCCCCTCCTCACCCTATTACACATGCATTTGCCATGCACAGATGGCCAGAGCTTTCCCATGCCTCGGGTCCATTCAGCACAGGCTGGGCCAGGCCCTGGGCCACTGAGAACAGGGGATGGAGGGGATCAGGGCCCTGATGCCACAGATTCCACCCCCCAAAGAACCTTCCACTCCAAGGGAGGAGGGAATGGCCTGGGAGGTCCAGGGAAGGTGACTTCTGGGGTTCTGGGAAACTCATTCTGAAAATGTTCACCTACTGAAAACTCATCTAGATGTACACAGATGATTTGTGCGCTTTCCTGCATGGATGTTAAAGCTCAGCAAAAAGTTCACTTAAAAAAAAAAAATCAGGAAACAAAGCAACAGAACTAAATGCAAAAGTGTATCCTGTGGCTTTGAAAAAATGGACAGATGAGAAGTGGTGAATAGATAGCAACTGCCCTGATGCTCAGAAAGGAAACAGCCAAGAGATAGAGCTGGGGAACACCGCTTCCTCCCAGAAGTCAGCTAGATGCTGACTTCAGTTGTTGTCTGAGGCTTGCAGACTCTGCTGAAAAGCAGAAATGTCAGACTTGAACATTGTGAGCTGCCCTCCCAGGTCCAAGAGACGACTCAGTGCCTGTACTGGGTTTGTTGAGTGGTTATTACCAGAAGTGATTTCCCCCCCCAACTTCTTAAACTATCATCTGCATCTGGAAGTGCATCTGGAAGGGAAGAGGCTTGCCTCTAATCCCAATGCTGTGTTCACTCCAAGTATCATTTCTTTCCTGGGGCAATGGAAGGAACCACAATGTATGTGGATCCGAGACTGGTAGGTACTGAGCCAAGGGCAGCCTGCCAGACCAGCCCAACGTCCTGGGTCTTGCCACAGCTGGCTACCGGTCCATGAGGCCAGAAAATGCCATGTGTCATCGAGATACTTGACTCCCTGTCACAGCTTT